TACAGGTAAAGCTGTGACTCCTGCAATTGCACCCTCCTGTTGGAGTCAGAACTGGACTCTCATCAAGGTTACAATTGCTGGTGGTGGTATCATCCCACATGTCCACAAAGCTCTGGACAAGAATAGAGACTGTCTAAAGGATACCTGGATTCATCCCACAACTCTAAATGTTATAACAGTTGGCCAGTGTTGGTTCCAATGGACTGGATCTCTGTAGAAAACATTTTGCCTTTTGTAATTATCTGAGCAATTTGGAAGTTTAACTCCAAATTAGCTTTCTAGCACAACTAAAATTTTGCATTTGAGTCTTAACCGTGTTTGCATGCTTTTCTGAAGTAGTACGTTTTGATCAAGTTGACTTTATTTAGGATACACAGCTCAGACTGGCTTTCAACTCAAAAATCTTCTTGCCTCAGCCTCCCAAGGGCTGGGATTATGCATACCACGTTTGACTATTTGTTGAGACAGGGTCTCCCTGTAGCCCCACCCCCTGGCCTGGAACTCACTATGTAGACCAGGTTAGCCTCCATCTTACAGAGATCCATCTGCCTCTGCCTCCCAAGTGCTGGGCCTAAATGTGTGTGCTACCATGCCTTGCTGAGTTGACTATTTTCATTTGGGTTTTTTTCATTGATAAGTTCAATAGGCTGGGGGTATATGCTTGTGTAGCATGTGTGAGGCTCTGCATTCCATCCCCAGCACCTCTAAATAAATAAATAAATAAAATGGAAATAAGGCCCTTGGCCCCATCTGTCCTCAGAAGTTTTCCCTTGCCATCCAGGTCTTCTCGCCCCTTGAGGTGTCCTCTGAGGTGGCCTGGTCCTCTCTATGCCCAGAATGACTGGACCGGATACTTTTGTATAACTAGTTTGCCGCTCCTCTCATTTCATGGGAGCTTTCGGAGACTGGCTAGTTTCATGAGCTTTCCAAACAGGTCTGCAAGCGAGGGGAATCTGGGGCAGCTGCCACACGTCACAGGTCCTACTCACCCTCGAAGTGTAGACCTGAAGGGGAAGGCCTTCTGCCCGAAGAGTGGCTGGGAAGAGAGCAGGAGTCACGGGCTCCATGGCTGTTTATGGGGCTTGTTTCAGGCAGGCCCTGGCTCAATGATTTAGATTTCCCTGGTCACCTGTGACAGTGGCTACCATGCCTGCCAGGGGAGTTCAGACTGGATATACTGAGGTAGCAAACAGAAGGCAAGTCTGGGTGAGGGCCAGGTCCAGGCAACCACCGACAAGGCCATTTGTATGGAAGTTCTGGGCCTCTCCCCACCAACACTCCCCAGTGGCCTGAGAGTCAAAGCTCTGGGAAGGAAAGGGTTGGGGGAGAGCCCTCAGTATCTTCTCCACTGCCCACCTAGCAGGGGTTCTGGCTGGTTCTGGTCTTGGGGGTCCTGGAGGTGTCAGACAATGCCAAACACTCTAAGGGAAAAGACACCATCTTCTGGGGAGGCAGTAGACTGGGGGGAAGTCTGAGATTCAAGTTTTGCCCCATCTGATGGCTGGTGCTTGTAGGCATCCAGGGCCAGCTGGTCTCCACACACTGTGACATCAGAGTTCTGCACATGCTGGCGTCCTCCTGTTGTCCATGGTGTGGTTGGTCCATGGAGCTTCCAGGCCCATTAGCCTGAAGACAATGGCTGGGCACAAGGTGCTGGCTTGATGAAAAGAGCCAACTGCTCCTCTCCCTCGTTCTTCCTTCAGAAAATGCTCCAGTTTGTGCTAGGAAGTGAGGACACAGGGCAGGGCCAAGGGATTGGTAAAGAGCAGTCAAGGTCAGCTCAGTCAAAGTGGCTGCTAAGGAATTGAGGTTGCTCAGGGTGGACCCTCCTCTGTAGCATCTTGAATCTGAGGGGCCCTCAGGGAGCTAAGTGCATGTTGGGAATAGCAGGCCTTCCAGACCCCAGGGCACCACCTGTGGGTTGGGAATAAGCACAGGAAAACTTTCCAGAGGGCTGGCTTTATGCCTAGGATTTAATCAACTGCAACTCTTTTCATCCCTCCCCGCTTTCCCTTCAGTCATTTGACACAGAGCCTCTCACTATAGGCCAAACTGCCCTCGAATTTGTGGCAATCCTGTCTCTGCTCCAGGATTACAGGTATGCACAACCACACCCGACTTGAAGCAACTCTTCAGTGGGGCAGTGGTTCTCAACCTTAAGGGCATGCTCTGTGGGGACTCGTGAAAAGCAGATGTCAGAGACGCTGATCACTGGGCTCAAATGCCGGCAAAGCTCTCCCCTCCAGATGACTCTAAGACAAAGTCAAGACTGGGAACAGTATCTGCCTTCCACAGATAAGGAGACCCTACCTTGAGAGGCCGAGGAACTTTCTCAAGACCACGCAGCACTACTTGTCAAAGCAGGGCCAGTCTGGCTACCTCCTCCCTTCCTCCAGTACTTGTCCCCTGCTGAGTCTGCTCAAGCTTTGGGGTAGAGGGGAAGCTCCCTAAGGGGAGGTAGTAGCCAGGTGTGGTGGCGCACGCCTTTAATCCCAGCACTCGGGAGGCAGAGGCAGGAGGATCTTTGTGAGATCAAGGCCAGATGGGGCTACAGGGAGACCCTGTCTCAAAAAAAGTAATCCAAACCAACCCCCATCCCCCCCAAAAGAGGTATTGGGGGATCAGTTTTCTGTGGGTGCCCAGCTGTTCTCAGAGGGCCTGAGTGACCTGTGGTATTGGCTGCCTGTGTGGATGGGGAAGCAGTGAGAGCTGGGCCTTGCTTGTAGCTGCCTGGAGCAGCACAGGACTCTTCCCTGCTGCCTGTTTGGGTGGCTGAAACTTCAGTCTAATCCAGGAGTCAAACAGGCAGCAGACCAGTGCAGGCTTGATTCCTCTGCTGGGAGCAGTAACCAAGGTGGGTCTGACTCTAGAGGCTATGTGGCTGCACAGGACCCCTGGGAACCTCTGAGACCGCCGAGGAAGGCTTCAGAAACTGCAGTCTATGGTCTCAAGTTCTGTGACTTCCAGTTGAAGCAGGAGGGAACAGGTGGGGTAATTCCAGCAATCTGGGCTTCATTTCTGGCTCTGGCCATGGTCCAGGCCCCAGGCATCAAGAAGCTGGGAACGGGAACTGCTTTCAGTTCTCAAACCAGCAGAGCAGAGCTGGGTATGGTGGCTCACATCTGTAATCCCAGCATATGGAAGGCTGAGGCAGGAGGATTGCTATGAGTTCAGGGCCAGTCTAGGTTATCTAAAAAACAAAAAACAAAAACACAACAAAAAACCCCACCCCAAACCTGTTGGATATAGTAGTGCATATCTTTAATCCTTCAGCTGGGCACAGAGGCACAAGCACATAACTTGGGAGGCCGAGGCAGTGGCAGTGACAGCAATAGCAGCAGCCGCAGCAGCAGGAGGATCACAAGTTGGAGTCAGTCTGGGCTACAAGATGAGTTCCAGTCCTGCTTAAACTATTGAAACTCTTGCAGAAGCAGGACAGGGAGACCGCCTCCTTCCGTAACATTCTTTTCCTGGCAGGCTGCTAACCCTGACTCAGCTGTCATGGCCTCCCACTCTTCAGAGGGCTGAAGGTCCATCTTAGATACCATCTTGGATACCAAGTCACTCTGGAGAAGCCTGGTTTTTTGGACAAGTGGGCAGGCCATTGGAGTTGAAACCAAACCCTAGAGATGTAGCTTTGAAAACTCCAGGTTCTTATGCATCTCTGCATCTCAATTTCCTCCTCTACAAAATGGGAGTAACAGCCCTACCCTAGAGCACTGGAGAATAAAGAGATGCCACTCTGCCTGGCTCAGCACCAGCCTTGGGGCTGACATGCCTAGTTCCCCAAGCTCTGCCCACTGCCTGGCCCTTCCTGGAAAGGGCACCCAGAGGCTCCCTTGAGAGCAGTCTAGTTTGAGGAATGAAGGCTTCTCTAAGCCACTGCTGGCTTGGCAGCTGTCAAGGCTCCAGGGAAGGTAGAGGTACTGATTGATGTGACTGTTCAGGTCACTCAGAGGGGCACTTTCAGACCTGAAGGATGGTATCTGCTTTGGTCAGCACAGATAGGGGTAACTTGTTTGGGTGGTGAGCAGTGACAGGAGTGTCCACAGGGCTCTTAGACCCACAGGGGCCGTCACAGATGGGCTGTGTAGGGAGTGTCACAGATACGTAGTCTTCATATCTTTGAAGGAGAAAGCATGATCTAACACTGCCTATTTCATAGAAGGGAACACTGAGCAGAGAATGTCAGGAGTGGGAATTAAAGGTACAGTCTGGATGGCCGGGCGTGGTGGTGCACGCATGCCTTTAATGCCAGCGCTCAGGAGGCAAAGGCAGACGGGTCTCTGTGAATTCAAGGCCAGCCTGGTCTCTATAGCGAATCCAGGCCAGCTAGGGCTACAGCCTGGGGAGGAGGTGGAAGAGGGGAGGGGCCGGAAGCATGACGGGGGAGGGGCAACACACACAAACTGCCCTGCTGATACCATGACTGAGATGCTCACCCCTGGTGTGCTGCTGGCACATGCCTTTGGGACCTTCCTAAAGGACCTCTCCCACCCAACCTGCCACGCCTTGCAAGGTGCTTCAGTTGAGGTCAACACCTGATTACAAGGGATGAAGCCCAACATTAAACAGCTTCAGTAGTAACACGGGACTCCTGAGAACACTGGGCCTGGTGACATCTGAGAAAGTTTCCCCGACAAAGGGGTCCTACAACTCAAGGTCAGGAGCCGCTCACTCATTTCTTCCCCACAGAAGAAAATGGCTCTAACGGCTGTGGGTAGGTTACCTCACGGCTCCTACTTCCAAGAGGGAAAACTCCCATGGAAGGCTGGCAGGAGTGGCCTGGGCCAACTCTGCTCTGGCCGGCACCACCTGAGTCAGGATTCCAAGTCTGGGCTGGTCTTCCCAGGATGGCATGTGCTGATGTGCTGGAGTCCAAAGAGAAGGGGACAGAGTCAGACAGGCTTGTTCTTTGCCCCAAGCCAGTTTCTGAAAACAGGGAAGGTCCTGGAAGGACCCGCTGCTCATGCCGCAGTCAAGAAGGCACTGTCCTCCAGTTCACTTGAGCAGACATTTATTAAGCACCTACCAAGTGCAAGGCACTGTACTAGGTGCCACAGGAGATACAGAGTGAACGGATGGTCCCTGCCCGCGAGGAGCTCACAGTCTAGAGGGAGGCGAGACACAGAACACAATCGGCTGCGGCTACACCAGAGTGGTAAGGGCCAGAAGCTAGATACCAAGTGCTGTGGGGTCACAGAGTACCACAGGGCTGCTTCTGTTTAGAGCACTGGGCGTGGACACAAAGAGGACCTGGGGCCGGGCCTCTGAGGAAGGAGGTCATCTAGAGAAGAGCATTTCTAACAGAGAAGATAAAGCAAGAACAGGAGCCCAGATCTGTTAGCTAGAGTGAGCATCACGGCAGGGGACATAAAGTGGATGATCAAGTATGGCTATGGGGTGACAGTCATGGACACTAGGCTCAGAGGGTCTGAACTTGATGCTCTAGTCACAGCCACAGAAGGGTGGCCCAAACAGGCCTTTCAAGAAGGAGCCCTGTGGGGTCTGGGAGAGGAGAGAGCTGTAGGGTGGCCTAGCACTGAGTGACCAATGCCTTGGAGGGCTATGGAAAACAATGGTGGGCCATGTAGGTGCAGGGAACATCCTGGGGATGGGTGGGAGAGGACAGAATGCAGGCTGAGGTTTTAGGAGTCAGGACCCCATAGGGTTGGGCATTAGGACACTGGAGATGAGAAGTCAGAAAGGAATGGCTTCTATAGAGTGCATCTCAAAATGTGGTTCCAGATCACCTTGTGGGAGCCACCACAGGCCTTTCGGCTCCCCTCCAGGGCATACCTCAGGGCAGTGCCTGGTAACCCACATTTTAGGGAGGGCCGTCTTTCCAGCATGAGTCCCAAGGTTGACCCAGTTTGAGAACTATCTGTTGGCAAAGAGTATATTAAGGATCGGCCTTCAGGGAGAAGAAAGAAATGAAGACTATCTAGAAGGAAAATGAGGGGGATAAGGCGATGTGTGCGTGTGGCAGCTGCAATGGGTGGCACCTGTAAGCAGGTGGCACTCAGTAGCTTCCCAGACTATTCCCACATGGCGGGGGGAAGCCAAGTGTGCAAACTGGGGAAGCATGAGGGAAAAGTGGGGAGTTGGAGGATATCAGCAACAGAATCCAGGTTGTTTGGTTTAATGTAAAGGTTTAGAGACACTTGGGGGACAACAGGGAGGTAGATAATGCAAGTGAACAGCCCAGCTGATGGACCCAGTTAGGACGTAAGAGGGGATGGCTCAAGATGCTGAGGATGGGCAGCTCCGGGAGAGGTGGAGGTGGGAAGAGAATCCAAAGGAAAGCCATAGCTTTGAGGTGTGGGAGGCAGGCTGGAACTTGGGTGAGCCTGGTGCAGTGGGCCAGGGTTGCAGCAGCTGCCCCTGCCAGAGGAAGAAGCTGGGTACTTGGTAGTGACAGGGAGGGAGCTGGAGTCCTCTCTCATGCCTTGCATGCCCACAAGCTTATATAAGTTCAATTCCATTCCACTTCACACGCCAGTCCTGGTAATACAGCTAAGCCTGCTGCTCATGCTGCCACTACTTGCCTGTCATTGTTCTAGTGTCTTCCAAGGTCTCAAACACAGGCTACATGACAGATGAGACAAGCCTTTTACTCCCAGAGATGGCAGCTTGGGGCTCAGACAGCAGAGCAGGCGGGAATCTATCACCAGCAACTTAGCCTTCCAGCTGAGTAACCTCAGTGAGCATCAATCACCTCAGCTACTCAGAGCGCCACCCTCAGTCCTGCCAGCTACCTGGCCCAGATGTCAGGATACATAGGAGCCAGAGGCACATCACACTGAAGCCAGGAGGAATTACAGGACACCCACAAGGTTCAAGTGGAGGCACTGAAGGATTCAGGTCCAGCATCTACAAACTTCTAGCAGCAACAGAGCCTGGGGTGAGTCAGTGGAGCTTCTTGGTTTGCTAACTGGAGCTTTAAATGCTATACTTAACTAAATGTGATAGATTTCACAAAGCATCTAAAGTATGTTTCATACTATAATTGACAAAGTAACCAGTACCTCTCTTCCTATTGTTTCTTCCTATCTTCTCTTCCTTCTCCTCTGGAGAAAAGGGAGTGGACAGGTTATCACTCAGAGACAATACTAAGAATACAGGCGCATACAACTCAAAGGTCAGGCTGACTCTAGAGTCTAAAAACCTGTGTTCTACCCAGTATCACTGGAGGTACTGCTGAGCATCTCCTGGCTCTCCTCTAACTTGAGAGATGTACTAGAGATGTACTGGTCTGCTACTGTACCGAGTGGGCCGGGAGGGTGTGAGGCAGCCCCATCCTTACACCTCTGCTGTGCTTAGGAAACACCCATCTCCAAAGCTGGGTCATGGGTGGGGGCTGTAATTGAGTCAACTCCTGGGGCTTGACTCAAGTCTTCCATCTCTACTGTCACAGCCAGCAAGTTTGAAAGCCCAAAGTGACAGATGACACACAGTTCAGACAGATCAGGATGCATCACCGAAGAATCCAGGAATCCATGTACTCATGACTGGAGCACAAGCATGGCTACCTGGAGGGCTCCTGATTCGTCTCCTGAGGGATACAGGATCAAACAAAACCAAGAGGATACACACATAGGGGAGAACATTCTGGGAGCCACACAGTCCCTGTGCCACAGAGAACAAACTAGCACCAAGTCCTCAGCCACTCTGTGTGGGAGCTGGACAAAGACACGATCCACAGGGCAGATGTGGAACTGACCATGAGGGCCTGGGGACAGCATAGGCAGAAAATACAAAGCCCTTTGAAGGCCCAGATGAGAGTCAAGATGCTAAGATTACCAAGAAAATAGTTTCACGGACACAGAATTGGAAATACATTGAGAAGAGATGATGCTAAGATAATTGGTTCTGAGAACCACTCAACTGCTTTAGAGACAAAAAGGGGAAACAAGACCCCTACAGAAGCTACTAATGCTATTTACTGGCTTGGGTCGTCCTTGAGAATAGAAAACTTTTTGGCAAAGCTGTACAAACTCCACATGGAGGCATCTCCCACACTTGTGGGTTGTGGACACAGGCTGGCTAAAATGATGGGGTCCTCATCAAACTCCTGGCACCCTGCCTCCCCTTGTGAGGCTGTCCAGTCAGGTCAGGTGCATGAAGGCCCCGCTGGTAAGCACATCACAATGCTAAACCAGATGTCTGGCCCTGCCGGGCTATTCCACAGTAGTAGCCATTGGCTTGGCCAGAGAGCAGGCTGGGCCTCAGTTCCCTCTTCTGTCCAGTGGGAGGGGAAGAAGGGTGGGACCACATGAACTCTAACTTCTGCTCTTCTGAGTCTCACTTTGCCTCGGTCACTGATGATGGAGGGCACCAAGTGCCATCTAGTGGCTCTACCTGTCCACTCTCACAAATGACCTGATAAGACCTCACTGGGGGTGCCAAGGCAGAGGGGGACATGTTGTGGACAGGACAGATTCACCTCAAGAAAATATACTTTAAGAGGTCTTGCTTTCCTTAAGAAAGCAATTCTTTTTTTTTTAAATTTTTATTTAGAAAGGCTAACCATATTCATTTGTCAATATCTTCAGCTTTATGGAAAATAGTTTAAAAAACATAAAAATGTAAATACACTCAAGAGTGACTGCTATTAAACAGTTCTGAACAAGCAGAAAATGTACTTTTCCTTTTATAGAAAATGTTAAATCTGTAATAGCAGCATAAATTTATATATAGAAAAAAGCTGTTTTTGAAAACCCAGATTTTTGTATACTCAAAACATCTTTCTTCCTTCTTTCTCCTATACAGCACAGCAATGTTCACTCGGGAAAGAGGTTTCTTCACGTTATGGCACTTCCCATGGCCCGGCGGCAGCTCCTGTCCTCAGCTGGCTCTCAGCACAGACTTCAGTCCAACACCAGGGCAGAGAGGGCATTCAGGTCTTTCATGTACGGATGGGCCACCAGGATCTGGTCGATCTTCAGTTTTTGGTCAGAGTCAGGGAAGATCTTGAGCAGTGCCTCCCTCAGCTCACTGGTTTCTGCAGAAGATCTCTGTGTCGGCATGGGCAGGTTCTGCTGCATACTGGGAAGGGTGGTTAGGGGTGTGAAGTGGGGCTGCTGAGGAAGCCAGGGGCTTGGAGAGGCTCCCTGGATCCGGGGTGGAGGCTGGTGGCCAGTGCTGGCTGCCTGGGTGCTGGAGCCCCGGAAACCAGGGTCAAACGTGCCCATGTTCGGCAAGGAATTGAGCAGCGGCTGCATGTCTCTGTGGATGAAGTGAGTTGTGGTGAGAAGGACAAGTGAGAAACCCTTTAAAAGCACCTGTGGCTAACACTGTGGCTCAAGATACATTCCATGGTTTCTGAAGGCCAGACTGCCACGGGGTGGTGAAATAAACCCCCAGGAGACTGCAGGGGGCCTGGTACCACTTCTAGACCCATTAGGACAGGGAACAAGTGGCTCTCAAGCCTGCCCAGCTCTGCTGTCTGAGAACAGACTCTGCCTGCCAGTTTTGCCGGGTTCCTGATCTGGAGATTTTGATTTTGAGCAGGACCAGCTAAAAGGAATTGGGAAAAGACATCCCTTTGAAGAAAAGAGGCAATACCAACAGGCTCATGGAATCCTGTCCCAATGAGGTCTGTGGAGGCACAGGTACTTACAACACATATGCACATGGTGTGCACAAGTATGTGCACACAGAGGAGGACACGTGTACGACTCAACAACCTCCTACCAGCTCAAGCTGCAGCTGAGAAGTGAGACTGGTTCACCAGTGCCGACTTCAAAAAGCTCAACCTCAAATATCCTCCCTTCTGTGACAGAATGCTATCTTAGTCAACTAGCCACCAACCGCTCTGAAGAGTACTACTAGGTGAAGGAAAAGGGCCAGAAGAATTGAGCCTGCTACCAGGCTGCTGAGGGAATGGAGCAGGAGGTAATACACCCACCTTCTGGTTTGACCAGGGCCTCAGCCTTGGCATGAAGCCCACACTTAGCTTCACACATAGGCCCCAGGACCTAAAACATAGCCAAGATTTCCAATGTAAGACATATGGGGGCAAAAGGGGAGAATGGGGTGAGCCGGACTAGCATACAGCAGGCTGCCATTTTCTTGGCGTGTACAGAGAAGTGTGTTTGGGAGCTAAGCCCTTAACTGTGTGATAAAACCCAAAGGCTCAAAGAGAGATGACTCACGAGATCAGGAAGCTGAAATTGTGCTGATGTTCTTGTCAAAGACCCCATATGAAATAAACCCACCACTACCCACCACCAAATCCTGAGGGCCCCCAAAGGCTTGTTGCGAATGACACATTAGCAGCTTTGAATGGTGAGACAGAGTACCTTCTCCTTTTAGGTATCCAGACCAACCCCATGCAAATATCTGCCAGGAGACCCACAGAAATGTAGCTTATTCTGGTTTTTATTTTATGTGTATGAATGTTTTGCCTGCATGTTAAGTGTACCACATGTGTACAAAGCCCACAGAGGCCAGAAAAGGGCATCAGATTCTCTGGAGCTGGAGGTACAGGTAGCTGTGAGTCACCATGTGCGTGCCAGGAACTGAACCTGGGTCTTCTGCAAGAGCAGCAAGTGCTCTTAACTGCTGAGCCATCTCTACCCTCTTATTTTGATTTTAAAGTAGAGCAAAGGTCTGCCACTGGGTTATGTGATCTTACCAGTTGGCACATAGGAAGCGGTGGTTGACAAGGTTACGTCAGAATTCTGAACACAGAAATAATCACTATTGTGAAGTTAGTGTCATAAATATACAGGATGTGCTTATCCACTCAGTGATGGTAAAAGAACCCGTCAGCTCCCCAAGGACTGATTCTTGAACAGTAAATGAGTTAATATAAATACTACATAGCGAAACAAACGACTTCAGAAATGAATGAAGAAAAGCATTCACACATACATAATGAACCTAGGCAGTGCTGACTAGCAAGTTACCACCAGCCTGGAAAATTTGCTTCTCCTGAGACTCTCAAACATGTTTGAATCCTCTTAGGATTAAAATGAAGGGAGCTATGCATGGGTGCATGGGGCAGGCCTGTAATTCCAGCTTCAGGAGGCAAAGGCAGGAGGAGGTTAGCCTGTCAACAGAAAAGTCTACATCTTAAAAAAAAATTGAGGGGCTGGAGGGATGGCTCAGCAGTTAAGAACACTGGTTGTTCTTGCAGAAGACCTGGGTTCGAATCCCAGCACCCACATGGCAGCTAACAACTGTCCATAACTCCAGTCACAGGGGATCTGACAGTCTCTTCTGTCCTCTGTGGGCATTGCACGACACGGGTGCACTTACCTACAAGCAGGCAATACATGCACACATGTAAAATAAAAATAATAAATTTTTTTTAAAAATTGAAAAGGATCACAGTGAAGATTACTCTTGGGGTGCTTGCTTGACCTGCTTGTACATACATCATGTGGAAGACTTTAAACAAAATTGAAATGCCATTTTCAATCTTCAAGGACAGCACTGCATGGAAACAGCATTCAGCTGAATAAAGAATCCGAACAAGTACCTGAGAAAGACATCCTTTCGAAGAAAGTCTTCTAACCGAGGTCCACTTCTTCCCAGTGGGTCATCAGGAACCATAAATATGTCCCCCACGAATGTATACTGAAGCAACCTGCAACACACAAAGTCAGATTCTGAAGCAGTGATCTTCTATTGCTGCTGGAGGGGAACATGGCTCAAAGTAGCCACCCTATTCAGGCGCTGGGTGTCTTGGAGCTAGACTACTGCTGTCTTAAGAAGAAACTCCACATCTGAGTTAAATCATTTTAATTTTTTTTTTTTTTTGGACACAAACAGCTGAAGAAACTTTCATTAATTGGCCCATGAATCTTATCAAGGCCTTTTTTGAGCTTTTTGTTTCTCTTGAAGCAGGTCCTTTTCTACTGATGAAAAACAAGATTAAAGACATAATTCTGCTTAGGACTGAGTAGGTACGTCAAAGACTTAATATTTAACTGTACTTAAAAATAATTGTGAGCCAGGCGTGGTGGCATGAGCCTTTAATCCTAGCAGAGGCAGAAGCAGGCGAATCTCTGTGAGTTCCAGGCCAGCCTGGTCTCCATAGTGAATTCAGGCCAGCTTGGGGCTACAGGGAGACCCTGTCTCAAAAAGACCAAAAAAAAAGGGGGGGGGCACAGGTGAAACTCTGAAAATAACCTTTTGAAAAAAAGTAAACTATGGTAACTGGAGAGATGGTTCAGTGGTTAAGAGCACTGACTGCTCTTGCAGAGGACCCGGGTTCGATTCCCAGCACCCACATGGTGGCCACAAACAGTCCTTAACTCCAGGTCCAGGGGAATCTGAAACCCTCTTCTGACCTCTGTGGCATTGCACGACACAGGTGTACTCACATACATGCAGGCAATACAGTCATACACATAAAATAAAAATACTAAATGTTTTTTTTTAAAAAAAGTAAACTATGACATATAAACAGAAAATCCAAAGCTGGATGGGCATTATTCATAAAGTACAGGGTAGGCACAGAGGCAGCTCAAGAGGAAAGTGCTTGCCTGGGATACATGAGGACCTGGGTTCAATCCCAGCACTGTGAAGGAAGGAAAAAAAAATTCACCAGACATGGTGGTGCACGCCTTTAATCCTAGTACTGGGGAGGCAGAGGCAGGCAGACCTCTGTGAAACTGAGGTCAGCCTGGTCTACAGAGAGTACTATGCCAGCTGGGGCTACAGAGAGACCCTGTCTCAAAAAGATCAATCAATCAATAAACAAGTATTAAAAATAGATTTAAAAAGTCTAGCATCAGCTGGGTATGGTGGCTCATGCCTATAGTCCTAGCACTTGGGAGGCAGAGGCAGATAGATCTCTGTGAGTTCAAGGCCAGCCTGGTCTACATAGTGAGTTCCAGGACAGCTGGGGCTACAGGGAGACCCTGTCTCAAAAAAATAAAATAAATGCCTACTGTCTGTATTTGTTGTCCACATTTTGGTTTCTGTTTGCTTCTGTGAACTCTGAAAGCAGTGGGTTGGCTGGAGATGCACTGTAATCAAAGCCTCCGCACGTGCACAGACAACTGTCTTAAAAACACTAATGTGACTGAGGACTTTAGTGGCTCATGAACTTGGGCCCACTGGATCAAAGACAAATTCTCTATTTACCGATCACCAAGAGTTTTTTAGAGGGGTCAAAATGTAGGAAGTAATTCACTTTCACCCAAGAATTTACAGCCAAGCTGGCAAACTCTAACTGTAGAGAAATGCCAACTGTGAGACGCCAATAGAGCTCAATGTGCAGTGGTGCCAGCTACATGGTAATCATGTGTCACACACTGTCTACGCTACTTCATGTTTTGGGGTCTGTGGCACATCTGCCTTCTGCCTGGCACCACAGCACTCTTGCATCTTGTCTGAAGCAGCTTCTCAAGTGAAAGTGCATCTTCTAGGGTGCTTGTGGGACCTAGTATCCACTGCTTTTCAGGTAGTTTTCAGCAACTGGACACATGCACAGCATTTCCACAAATAAAAAGTAGATCTTAACTCATGAAGAGCTTCAGATACTAAAATGGGAACTATTTCCTCTATACCCTCAGAGTTAAGGACCTGTACTAGCACACTGCCTTTGGTCCTATGCTCTTATTGGAATCACAGTATTTCAGACTTGAGACGTCAGATGTCACCAGGTCCAACCACATGGGTACAACCCAGCAGAGAACCTGCCCTGCCCTTGCAGGCCTACCAACTGTACTGCAGCAGGGTCTTTCTGTAGGGTCAAGGTACACAAGAGATAAAATGCAAACGGGTAGCAAACAACAAATGTCTGACCAGAGACAAGGAAGAAAGTATCACCTTTTTGTAATAATTTCTCGCCAAGAGACTGACTCGGTCACAAATTCTCTGAAGTTATCATTTGTCACAATGATTCCACCCGTCTTATCTGCTAAGTGTAGGAGAAACCTATGGGTGACACAAGAGAAGCCAACATGAGTGAACAGTGTCCCTGGCTTAGAGAAGCTGTGTGGTAAGGAAATAAAAGGGTTTCTCTTAAGAAAATCATCACAGTTTAACCAAGGCTAGAAACACAAACGGTAGATCCCTGTCAACTGAAGATCAACTGGATATCTGAAGTTACTAGTTATTTTCACAGCCAGGCATGGTGATGAACGCTTTTAGTCCCAGCAGAGGCAGGCAGATCTCTTTGAGTTCGAGGCCAGCCTAGTCTACAGAGTTCAGTGCCAGGTCAGCTGTGGCTACAGGGAGACCCTGTCTCAAAGAGACCAAAAAAATAAAACAACTTTTTAATATAACCTTAAGTTTTGAAAGATTTCACCATAATTTCTCCATTTTCCTAGAAAAGTTCTATCAATAAACGGTGATAATACACGAGAGGATACAGAGTAATAAGTTAAGAGGTGACAGGACTGTGAAATCTTTCAGCTTTAGTTGCTCAGCTACCCTGATTAGAACCTCCATTCTATTTGGCCTAAAGGAAATTCAAAGTTATGAAAGGGTACACGGTGATGAAACTGTTTTGTTTCGACACTTTAATTTTTTATGTAAAACTGTTTGTTGGCAGTTAGGGGTCAAATCAAAGGCCTGACACATGGTGGGGAAGCGGCTATCACCATACTCCCAGCTTTGTTTTTGAGGTTGTTTTGTTTTGAAGGCAGGGTCTTTTATCTCCCAGGTTGGTCTTGAACTCAAACTGCAGATGATCTTGAACTTTAATCTTCCTGCCTCTCTCTTCTGGGTGCTGGGATTACATGTGCACATCATCACATCTGGTTTATGAGGCGCAGGGGATAGAACTCAGGGCCTCATGTTCGTTCACTTTACTCAAAAAGAGCAGGACATAATCAAGACTTTTGTTCCTCGCTAGAGATTATTCCTGTAAACGCTCTTACTGGGTCTTTATGAGGATGATGAAAATGTCATCTATGAATAAGGACAAAGGAGGAAACAAAGAGCACTAGAATCAAAGGTACAAAAAACCGCTCTTACTAGCAAGAGTGAGTTCTTAAATGGGATTGAAAAAACAAGTTTCATTAGTTTCAGGGGTCTTAGGAACCTTTGAAAGTTGATTTTGTTTATTTGTGCTTGTATTTTCTCATATACCCCAGGCTAGCCTAGAATTCACCATGTAGCTGAGGATGACCTTGAACTCCTGATCCCCCTGCCTCTTCTCAAGTGCTGGGATTATAGGTCTGAGCCACCACACATGGTTATGTTCTTCATTAATGAATATTGTCACAATTTATTTCCTAAGGGCATGCATTTCAACTGTGATTATATGCCCAGGTGAATAAAGGTGGACTAGAAGGCTACTCAGTACATACCATCAACCAAGTCACACACCCATGTTTTGTGAAACACAGAGAGCTGCACAGATGAAGCCAAAACCTCATTTGCATATTTGTACCTGGGTTTGAATCCTGTAGGTATGAGAAGGAAGTTGTGATGGTGGAGGTCCTGAAGGCTTTTCCTAAGCCTACTGACCTAACTGCCTTTCTGTCTGAGCACTCCAGGGCTTGTGAGCCCATTACAAGGCTGACAGGAATGGCCCTTCCAGGACAGATTCCCAGGACTTCTCACACCTGGCCTTGATCTTCCAGCTCTTCTCACACTGTTCTTTCACAACACCTCAGATTCACCCCATCCCACCTCATCTTTCCAGCCTGGTGCAGGCAAGGGGCTGTCACAAAGAGGCCTGTTCACGGAGTGAATGTCTGCTCTTGTCTCAAGTCACCTCTTTCCTAGTCAGCCATATGCCAGCTTGGGTCACATGTAAAAAGCATTGTCTTCTTTGGAAGAAGTGTGGAAATAAGCAGGACAAATGCAGAGGAAGAAAAAACAAGCATCCCCCAAGGTCCCAGATGCCACACCTGACTTGACAATCCAGGTAAGGGTTCAGAAACTATACACGAGTGGGTAAGGTTGGAACCAAACTCCTGTCATGTGACTCACTAAGGGCTGGAGGTACATCAGAATGTTTCCTTGGAACCTGGCTCCCCACAGGGGACTTGGCAAACTCAGTAAAGGGTTTAGAAAGTAACTCCAGAGGTGTGTATAAAACTTCAGTGCCTCAAATATACTAGCAGTTACTAAGTGACCTAGAAGCCTAAGAAACCAGGAATTTGACTAACTTGCCCAGGCTGGCCTCTAACTCCTGGGCTCAACTGATTCTCTTGCTTCAGCCTCAGGAGGTGCACACCACGCCCCGCACAAAGACAAGACAAGTATTATTTTAAACATGTATTAGAAAACACCAACTGCTGGGCATGGTAGTACACAGCCTTAATCCCGATACTCAGAAGGCAGAGGCAGGTGGATCTCTGGCAATTCCAGGCCATCCAGGGCTGCATAGTGAGACTGTCTCCCCTCACTACTCCCCCAAAAGAAAAGAAAAAGACAACTAAATATATTTTTTTCTTGTCTCAGACATGCTTTACTAAACAAAACAAAACCCTAACTCAAAAGCTTCTTTTGTGACGGTCCTAAACCCAGAGACAGGCTGCCTGAGGGTGCAAGCTTAGTGATCTGAAGCATTAATACTCTCAAACCTGAGCCAAAGCAGGTCCCTTCAGAGTATGTCCCTGTTCAGTAGTGCAGGTGGCTGGCTCCTCACCACCCCGCTCCCCCCTTAGAAAGGAAAACAGCCTTTCATACCTGTCATCATGAGAAGCAATTCTTTCTCCAAAGACCATCCGGGCAGGAGTTAAAGATAATATTCCAAGCTCCTGGAGCTGGGTTAGGAAGTGTTGTTCTGTTCATGGAATAAGTTGAATACATATTCAGAAAAGGCTATCTTTCCAGATAAATGAATGTAAACTCAAACTCACTTGGGGGAACTGTAGAACCCTTTTTCTATTGACTCAGTTTTTACTAACTCATCAGAAAGGAAAAGAAAAAACTGAGACCCATACTATGCATGGACTAACTGGTTATTTTGTAAACAAAGAAGGTTAAGCTGCTTAAGGCTAAATCATTACCCTGTACCATATTTAAAGAATCCCACCTCCTGTCCTCAAGAACTTTTTCAAGAAGTAAAAGTCAAGCACAGTGGCATATACCTTTAATCCCTGCGCTTGGGAGGCAGAGGCAGGCCACCTTGGTCTACATGGTGAGTTCCAAGCCAGCCAGGGTTACACAGTGGGATCCTGGTTCTAAATAACTAAACAACCAAGAGAAAGGCCAAGAGTCCTGGAGAGAGGATGGGAATGAAAAAAAGCCCTGAAGAGAGCCAGCGACTTGAGTAAATCACCTGGCTCCAGTCAAGAAAGGGCACTCACTCTCCAGCTTGGGCAGCCGTCAAAATCTCCCCACAGCTGGCCTCCTTTCCTAACTTCTTAGTTGTCTGTACAAGTATGTACTGATTTTTGTAGGTGTGAGTGGTAAAAGAATGGAGAGCAAAGTCATCTTGTGGAAAAGCAGTAATGGCAAGAGAAGCCGGGTGGAAAGCGAGCCCTGATTCCTGGGCTCGTTTCTCCTACCCAAGGAGAGACCACTCAAGTGAACTGACGTGCCCAAAAGGAGCTGCGGCATGTGAGCATGAGACGCAGCTACATAACCAGTGCGCCTGCCCCATTCCTCATGCATCTTCTACCACGACAAGTATCTTCTTCAAAATAAAGGAAGCTGGGAACACGGGAAATGAGTGGCTTTGCCACTTCCACCTCACTAGTAACTAGGTCTTATTTTCTGTTTGGGTACTGAACAAGCCTACAACACACCACCACCTCCATTCTACCTTCCTTTCTGGGAACCCCGATGTCTTATGCCTGCCATAGTCTTCTCGCCTGTCTTCCTATCATGACCTGAGACAGACTGTATTTCACAGTTTATGTTAAGTTCAAACCTTTTGTGTGGGGTCTACGGGTTAGCCATAAAGTACTAGAAATGATATAGTATGCTATTAGGCTACTGAAAAGGCATTATATTTGAAGGTATCAAACTTACCAAGCAGCCAGTTTTTAAAAATATTTATTATTTTTATGTGTATGAGTGTTATGTCTGCATGTAAGTAAGTGCACCCGTGTCGGGCAATGCCCGTGGAGGACAGAAGAGGCTGTCGGATCCCCTGGAACTGGAGTTAAGGAGAGTTGTTAGCTGCCATGTGGGTGCTGGGATTCGAACCTGGGTCTTCTGAAAGAACAGCCAGTGTTCTTAACCACTGAGCCATCTTTCCAGCCCTGCAAGTAGCCATTTAAAAAAATAGTGTGGTGGCACACACCTTTAATCCCAGCACTCCGGAGGCAGAGGCAGGTGGATCTCTGTGAGTTCAAGGCCAGCCTGGTCTACATAGTGAGTTCCAGGTCAGCTGATGACTTTGAACTTCTGATCCTCCTGCCTCCATCTCCTGAGTGCTGGGATTACAGGTGTGCACCACCACACCTGGTGTTCAATAAGTATTTTACCAGGTAGAACCAGTTTATAGTTTTGTTGTTAAAGTTATTGCCCATAGTACATAATTCTACTCTAAGTACCATGTGTTACAATTAGCAGCCAATTCATTAAATATCTAACTAGAATTCTGGAAAATAACTTGGGCCTCACCTGTGACATTAGGGTCCCGCCTTGTTCTCCACTGCGGGACAAATACAGTGATGTTTCTGTTGCCAAGTTTCCAGAAATATTCAACTGCAATTGCAATTCCACGACAAGAAAAGAACTTTTTCAGACCATGGCTATAACAAATAAGTGAAATTTGTTTCAGATTAAAGCGTTTAAAGCATAAGTTTTACCACAGAAAGAAAAAAATTCACATACAACAAAAATAATACGAGCAAGTTTTTTACACTTAGGCATCTGTTGTACAGTTTGCTACTTTGCAAAGCTGAATTAGAACCTGTTGAGGGAGTCTCAGCTAGTCTTAGGGGTTTCCATATATTTGGTTTGGTCTGACTGGCTGTGCTGTTCTACTAGAAGGCAGTGTCATAGTAATGTTTATTATAGGGTTTTACTGAAAAAAAAAAAAACTATTTGTAAGTTCTGCCTGTTACTATTTTTTGAGACATGATCTTGCTATGTCGTCCAGGCTGGCTTCAAACTGGTGACCATCCTGTCTCAGCATTCTGAGGGCTGAGATATTGGCGTGTACCCCCACATCCAGCCAGGAGGGACTATCCTGGGTTTTGTTTGTAGCACAGGATGCAAACCTAGATCTTCACACATGCCAGGTTAGCACTCTACCACTGAGTGATAGATACATCCAGCCTACTTCTAAGCATTTCTTAAGAATGTTAGTACAGAAATTGTTGCTCAAGTAAAAACAGTTCAATAGTTGTGCCAATCCCTGTGATTGTACCTGAGGGCAGGGATAAAGATGTGGCCCCATCACCAGTACCAGTGTCCAAAGCCAATGCTGCTCTGGCTCTGGGTGGGCTCTACCCCCTTTCTGGGGAGTTGCAAAACCTTTGCATTTTGTAGCTTACAGGAAATGATTTGAAGGCAGGATTCCAATGAAACTAACTAGGGCTACAGATGATTTGGCTGAAGGCAGCAGAAAGCGGGTAAACACAGAAGCAGACAATAACCTGTCAGCACGGTTTTTCTGTAAAGGGCACTGTGGTCTGTACATCAGCCACAGACAACTGCAAATGAACAAGTGTGGCTGGGTTCCTACTCACAAAACAGACGGCAGCTGTTCCTGGCCAGTGTGTGACCCCTGCTACAGGGAACTCTAAATATGTACCCCCTCAAGGCTGGCAATACATTTCAAAATAAACCAAAATTAGGTAGTGGGATGGCTCAGCAGGTAAGTCTGGCACCAAGTCTGTGACCTAAGTTTGACCCCAAGGCTCCACATGATAGGTAAGAACTGGCCCCAAGTTGTCTCCAGACCTTCACACATATGCCATGGCAAGCACCCCCCCATACATACACAAATCAAGCAATCAATTGATCAGTGTAACAAAGTAACAAGTACTTCAATTTTGTTCTCAGGTCATCAGGTGGAGGCAGAAGGAGAGCAACCCTTCCCATATACTTCTTCCAGGCTTGGTTTTGACGTCTCTCCAGATCTGACCTGTTAAGGCAAACTTTCCATGCTACCCTGTACCAGCCAGCTCTTGGTCCAGCCCTGGAGGTCTTGCCCAATTCTTCCTGGCTGCTGAGGGTCTTTTTTCGGTATACCCTCTCTAACCGTTTCTCCTTCCAGGGCTCAGTCCTGTCCCCTCAGAAGCTGTGCCTAAATTTAAGTGGCTTTCAATAAGACCCCCTTCCTGGCTTCTCTCCTCCTCTCCTCCACTATGTACTGATGGAGTAGTCTGTCTGGGTGTGAGGCCAGAGGGCGGATGTGCTAGGTCAGACTCAGGCTGCCCTTCTGCTATCCCAGGGCACTATCACATCTGCATCCCTGACTCTTGAGAGCAAGGAAGGAGTGGACACACAACTAAGCTGGCAGGGGTTAAGCTGAGTAGCCCACACACTTCCTCGATTAGAGGTGTAAGTCACTCTTTTTTAGGGACCTACCAATAAGAGACTGTCAGATCTTATCCCAGAAAAACCATGAAAACGAACTATTCTCCATTCGGTAAGAATGGACCAATAGGACATTTGTTACTGGAAAAAAGAGAGAGAGTAATTGGGTTTTGTTTGCTGGTTTTAAAAAAATACTTTTTTTCATTTACCTGTGTATTTGTTTGTGTATGCATCCACTGAGGCTAGAAGAGGGCATTGGATGCCCTGGAGCAAGAGTTATGGGTGGTTGTGAGCCTCCTAATGTGGATGCTGGAAACCCAATCCAGGTCCTCTGGAAGAGTAGTAAACGCTCTTAACCGCTGAGCCATCTCTCCAACCCTGTTTGTTTTTAAAAAGTTTTCATAGCTGGGTGTGGTGGCACACGCCTTTGATCCCAGCACTCAGGAGGGAGGCAGATCTCTGAGTTCAAGGCCAGCCTGGTCTACATAGTGAATTCCAGGA